CACTGTGTCAGTAGAGCTCCTAATAAAGGGCCACCACAATGTAAACAATGCATATAACTTCCTGTTTAAATTAGTGGATGGACTGAACCAGTGTACTGAGCTTTAAGTAGGATCCAGTCAAATACATTGGGGCTTCTCATTTAAAGAAAAGGCTCCCAGCAATCATGATATGTGGTATAGGGGAAAGAATCACTCAGAACTACTAAGAATTGCCTCCAAAACACAGATATGGTATTTACATAAGCTACCAGAACATTTTCTGCACCATGCACATTTTCCCCAATCAATATTACATTATTGATTGAGAATCAGGAACAGAAGAGGGAATCACCAAGCCTCACACAGAACACTCTGCTGCAATAAAAGGGATCAATGCTATATCGATCAGCATTCTGTCAGCCTGTAGCAATAGAGGGCTCAAGAACTGCATGAACAGTGTGTGCACACATACATGTGTACTCTCACCTCTAGCCACCATCTTCTATGGTGCCCAGCCACTCCTCAGAAGAAAGACTGAGCAATCTCCTTCCATAGTGATACCACCTCAGAAACCTAAGGAGGGGTCGCTGTGAGTTGGGGCCCACTCGATGGCACATAACAACAACAACAACATGAGCAAATTAAAAGGTAGAAGAAGATTATTTTCTTTAAAGAGCTTCAATCTCCTCTATCTAGAAACACTCCTCTAAGAGTCTTTACTTCCCATGCTATCCTCCACAATAATGGGACAGAAGTTGCAATGTGTTTAAGCCTCACAGGAAAACATAAAACCAGAAAAAGAGTGACTAAAATGTCAAGGACCCAAGGAACTGAGGGCCAAAGAAGCCAACCCTGGCAAATTCAGGATAGAATTAACATCAACTAAAATGGGATTCTTGTGCTAAATCAGATAGTTTACTAGAGATCCTCAACAATAGAAACCTAAACAGCTCCAGTCCCTACTACCACCACAATGAACCATCCATTCCCTCTCCCACAACAATATCAGACCACTTAGAGCTAACTGCAGAGAACAGAGAGGTCCGAATTACCATCCCTAAAACTTAATTATGCCCTGGGTCCTTAGTATCTCATTTGACTAAAATGTAATGCCTGCCCTACCAAGGAAGCATTTTACAATAACTGTGAACTTAACTCTTACTTTCTATAAAAAGGTCCACATGGAAAGCAAATGAAAGAGATATGACACATTTTCTACCAGTGACCACTCACCATGACTCCTCTTCTTTCCCTAGAATCTATTAAGACACAAGTTACTTTCTCTCCGAATCTGTTTTGGTTTCATAAAAGCTAAAAAGACAGAATGACCTATTACCCCAAGAATGTCACCTGTATTTATCTTTTTGCAATATTACTGACCCTGGAAGTTCAAGTAATTTTAAATAAATTGGTCTCTGGATCAAGAATATTTAATGCCAAAAGTAGAATAGCAGTTATCTACACCCTTTTGAAATAAATACCCCAAGTAATAACTAAATGAAAAGTTTTTCTCACATTCCCTTTAATAACCTATTATCTACTATTTGATTATATCTTTGATTATACCTGGAGCTTATAAGAGGAGCTGTGGTGGCGTAGTGCCTAAGGTATGTGACTGCTAACCAGAAAGCTGGTGGTTCAAAACCCACTAGCCAATCCTCAGAAGGAAGACTGGGGAATCTACTTTCGTAGAGATACAGCCTCGGAAACCCAAGGAGAGGTTGCTATGAGCCAAATCGACTCCACAGCAGTGAGTTTGTTTTCTTTTTTTGGTTTTGGAGAGTACAAACCATATTTTTTTTTTCTAACTAAATGCTAGCAGGAGTATTTATTTATTTATATTGTGATCTGGGTGAAAGTTCATATAGCAAATTGATTTTCCATTCAATAATTCATACACATTTTGTTTTGTGACATTGATTACAAATCCCATAATGTAACAGCACTCTTCCCACTTCCTCCTTGTGTTAACTCATTCTCTTCCTCCTTCTTTCCTATTCCTTCTTGCCTTCTGAGCTTTAACCCTGGGCAAATGCTGCCCTTTTGGTCAAAGTAGGGTTGACTGTTTTAATGAGTGCATACCTCATGGTTCACCTGATAGGCCTGTTTATCATTTGGCTGAAAGTTGAGCCATGGGGGTAAGTTCAGTTACAGGCTTGAAGGGTATGTAAGTGCCATAGTCTTGGAGGTTCCACCTGTCTCTATCAGACCAGTAAGCTTGCTCTTTTTATGATTTCAAGTTTTGTTCCACATTTTCCTCCCAATCTATCCAGGACCTCCTACTATGATCTACTTCAGAGTGGTTAACACTGGTAGCCAAGCACCATCTAGTTCTTCTGCTCTCAGGGTTATGGAAGCTGGGGTACAGCCTCCTTTAGTTCAGTTCCTTTAGACTAATTGTTTTCATTGCATCTTTGATTTTCTTCACTATTCTTTGCTCCAGACGGGGAGAAACAAATAGTTGCAACTGAGCCGATCACAGGATTTTAAGACCCCCGTCACTACTCACCAAAGTAAGATGAAGAACATTGGTTTTGTGAATTGTTATGCCAACTGACTTCGATGTCCCCCAAGACTGTGGTTCTGAGCCCCTAGGCCCAGTGACTCATTACTTCAAGGTGTTGTTTGGTTATGGCTAAGAATTTTTCATAACTTTGTCACCTGTGCTCTCTACTCTATTCATGGATATATTTGCAGCATATGTAAATACATATGTAGAAATATTCTCTGTCAAGCCTATATATACATATATTCATGAGTGTAGTCCAATTTGCCTTCCCACTCCTGTTCAGCTTGAGTTTCTCTCTATGTATACACTCATAAATTATTGTTGTTACTCTTATTGCAGGATTGGGTATATAATGGTAATTACCTTTGTTGCCTTTAAATCCTGTGCTCCTCCCAAAGTCTTCCTTTGTCTTCATCATTTTGTGCTGACCTCCACTATTTTGTATATTGTGTATCATTTCACCAAGGTTAATGCATATCTAGTTAGTGATTTACCCTCCCTTCCTCTCCACTCCTGGTAACATGTAACATGTAACATCCTAAGAATAAAAGTTGTGTATAAACCTTTTCTTGACTTTTTCTAGTAGTGGTATCATACAATATTTGTCCTTTTGTAATTGACTAACTTCATTCAGCATAATGTACTCTAGGTTCATCCATGTTATGACATGTTTTGCAGATTCATTATTCTTTAACATTGCATAGTATTCCATCGTGTATATGCACTATAGTTTGTTTACACATTCATCCATTGATGGGCACTAATATTGTTTCCATATTGCTATTGTGAAAATGTTGCAATGAACATGGGTGTACGTATGTCCGTTTGTGTCACAACTCTTATTTCTCTCTGATATATACCTAGTAGTGAGATTGCTGGATCATATGGTATTTCTATTTTCAGCTTCTTAAAGAAGTGCCATACTGTTTTACACAGTGGTTGTACTGTTTTACAGTCCCATCAGCAGCGTATGAGGATTCCAGTCTTTCCAAACCCTTGTCAGCATTTGCTATTTTTTGAATTTTGCTATTAATATTGGTATGAGATGATGTCTCATTATTGATTTGATTTGCATCTCTCTTAACAGCTAAGGGTTAGCTCTGGTGGCGTAGTGCCTAAGGCATTTGACTAGTAACCAGAAGGCTGATGATTTAAACCCACCAGCCACTCCTCAGAAGGAAGATTGGGCAATCTACTTCCATAGAGATAACCACCTTGGAAACCCAGGGAGGGGTCGCTATGAGTCAAATCAACTTGATGACAGTGAGTTTGGTTTTTTGGTTTGGAATGGCTAATGATCACAAACATTTCTTCATGTGGTTGTTAGCTGCCTGAACATCTTTGGTGAAGTGTCTGTTCATATCCCCTTCCCATATTTTAATTGAATTTTTTTGTCTGTTTGTTGTTGATGTGTTAAAGTTTTAGAGATGAGTCCCTTGTCTGATATGTGGTTCCCAATCCATAGGTTCTCTTTAAACTTTTAGTGAAGTCTTTTGATGTACATAAGTTTCTTAGTTTTAGGAGATTCCAGCTGTCTGGTTTTCTTGTATTGTTTGCACATTTCTACTTATGTTTGATAGTGTGTTTATGCCCTGTACTAGGGCCCCTAAATTTGCCCCCATTTTTTCTTTGATGATCTTTATGACTTTAGGTTTTACAATTAGGTTTTTGATCTGTCTTTAGTCAGTTTTTGTATACAGTGAAAGAACATGGATTCCTATATCATTTTTCTACAAATGGATATCTAGTTTTGCCAGTACCATTTGTTAAAGAGATTGTCTTTTCCCCATTTACTATATTTTGGCCATTTGTCAAACATCAACCATCCACAGGTAC